TACTCATCTTTTGTAAATGACTTCCGAATGACGTACATTTGGTACATACTGTTCATTTTAAAAGTTAAAATATCAAACTATTATAATGATACATACAATAAAATGACACTATGAAAATAATTAACATAACCAAACAAATATATATTCCACAATCAAGTTTGTATCATACACGTTATCAATAGACCACTTAACTTTCATCCATAAAATTCATTTTTTTAGAATTTGGCTAAAAATGTTTTCAGAAGGGTTTTTGTGAAAATTGTAGTAATTTCAGCAGTTGAGATCATGAGTCAATTGAAGCTAGACCACCATGGAGAACCTGGAAGCACTGGACAGCCGTTTCGTCCTAGTATGGGACCCCGCAGCAGTGCGCATCCACGACCCCGCCTCGCGGGATTCGAGTCCAGGACCTAACAGTTTCGTGCCAGGCACTTAACCAACTAGACCACTGAGCCGGCATCTAACGGTGTTAATGTCTAACTTCAACTAATCCGCGAAATTGAGCGACACATCCATCATTGTCATCAGTGAGTTACTACCTCACAAGTGACCCGGTTGAACTCCACTGGTCAACTGACTCATGATCTCAACTGCTAAAAATGTTTTGTTTACTTCAGAGAACAACAGAACACAGAAGATAGTACAAATTATTCCAAATATTTCTAAATCTTTTGAACTGAACTAACATTATATAGATTGACGGTGGTTGTAGAAATACAGTATTTTGTTGGATGAACAACATGATTTAAAAAAAAAGAAATACGCAAATAATGAAACATGATTATCGTATGTATATAAGATCACCTATTTTAACAGGTTTGTGTAAAAGATAAACTGAAAGTTTCAAATATAAAAAAAAATCATAGTTACTATCCTATAACAATCAACAACACTTGAGTGATTCCTCATATGTACTATTAAAATTAATATTTGATTACTTGTCAAACGACTATGACCTTTCCCCTCTCTCTCTCTCTCTTCTTCATACATAGGATTTTCTTTTTAAAAACTGTCATCTAAATGACATATAAACAATTGTTGTCATATCTTCAAAATAGTTGACAGTTATCATTATCTTTATGTGTATATAATCTAAAGTACATAAAACATGAGATCAACTCACAATAAATTCATGTTATCATTTGACATCTGATCTTGTTTCAATGTAAATCGATTGAAAAAAATATACTTGTCAAGCATTGAAGTTCTATATGTACTTGTATCTATATGCCAATTTAGTTATAAGCCAATTTTTATTTGTTTGTTTGTGTATTTATTTGTTTATTAATTCATTTCATCATTTGGATTGTAAATAAAAAGTAACACAAACTTATCAATATTAACAAATAAAATAACAACTGACAATTGTAAGAAAGAAAAAGAAAACAATAACAACGAATCTAAAAAAAGAGAGAAAATAATTGACAATATTTTCCTTTTTATTTAATGAAAAGTTTAGTTAATATTTTCTTTTAAATATTAAGTAAAAGAGTAATTCACATAGATTTTGTAATTCATTGGATGCTTTCCTAGTATGAAAGGATAAATGAAAGAGATGTTATAGTGGTTAAGATAGGTTATTACAATTTGTATATTATTTATTTACTTGCCTATAATAAAACATGGCAATTCTACAGTAATAGACATGAAAAACGACATAAAAATGAGGAATATTCATAATAGTAATAATAATGAATAATATATATATATATATATATATATATATATATATTTGTGATATCCCAATGAGTAGAAAATTGTATTTCTGACATTTTGTGACTATACTTAAGCTCCTTCTTCAGAATAAGCAAATAAACAAAATAAAATTAACACAAGTTTAGATAGTATAAATAGTACTTTGAAGAAGTGACTTACATTAAGTCACGAAACGTCGGAAATACAATTTTCAACTCATTAGGGTATTTCACAAGTTGAAATCATGAGTCAATTGAAGCTAGACCACCACGGAAAACCTGGAAGCACTGGACGGCCGTTTCGTCCTAGCATGGGACCCCACAGCAGTGTGCATCCACGATCTGCACCCAGCGGGATCCGAACCCAGGACCTACTGGCTTCGCGCGCGAGCACTTTACCACTAGACCACTGAGCCGGCATCATTAGGATATCACAAATATGTATATACATATATAATTAATTTTCTACCCAATGCTCAATTGATTTGAAACTATCATGTTCAACCATGTCATTGATACCTACAAATTCACAATAACAATGATAACTTCATTGTGTCAACCTCAGTTTTATAGATACTTTCAAAACTTACATTTATGATGTTCGGATTGTGCAGTCTAATAAAGTAACTAGGATTATTTATTTCATAAAGTGTTTAACTTTTTATTGTTGTTACTGACCAGTTTATATCACTTGAAATTGAACTCTCTATAAACTATATTACATTTTTATATTTATAGACTTAAAATAATATTAAAATTTAGAGAATAATGATACATAATACCCAGGAATCTATTAACGTACACAACTAAGTAGTTTATTAAATAAATGAACAGTATAAAGTAAAGATTATCTAAGTAGCTTCTGGTAAAAACTGCTCTTTGTTCAAGTATATATATAATTCATTAAAAGCTTTCTAAGTGAATGAGTTATACTTGAAGGTCGTAAAATAGAAAGAAAAGTTTATTCAATATCAGGATAACACTGAGGAGAACTAAGCTAGTGCAACTGAAAGCTGTTCAGAGTTACTTGACTTTAAAGGAAAGTAAGATCACAGAAACTTTTGTAGAAATGTGGTTTTTTAAGGCCAACTTACGTTTGCAACTTCAGCCGAAGGGTATTTTGAATTGTTATTTAGTTTACTAAACCCCCGTAAACCGAAATACCGGTTGTGACCTGTCAGTAGTTACAATGGAAACACTGGCTTAAGCAACAAAATCTTTACAGGCCCCTGCATATTTCCTAAAACAAAATTTAGACATTACGATATCAATTTCGCCCGGTAAGAATATTAATTACTGGTCAGGAGTAATCAAAACCTAATACTTTATCAATAAGAACTCAGCAAAAACTATTATTTAAATTATTATTAAGATGCAATGCTTAGCTCTTTAAATAGCTTGCTTGTTACTTTCCTCTTGGTGAAGTTTAGTGAAATTGTCACGTCTGCAGTACACTACTAATAAGTAGGTAACTAAATTGATAATAAATATTCAGGGCTGTTTCAGATCAGAGGGATTTAAAAAATATCAGTGCTAGATTTCAGTTTATCGCCTGGTTGTTTTTAAATTATTAGTATAGAAAAAAAAGACATGGAATGTCATTTTCTGAAACAATAGAATCGAGTTATAAGGTAATACTTAACAGTGAAGGAACAGATGCACTACTACTGTTTGTGTGTATACGATATAGAACCCAAGCTCATGGCATGATTTATCTGGTTTGCCAGAAAACAATTTATATACAAATTTTGTGTGACAACAGGTAATGAGTAGACTCCAAAGATGGACTTAGCAACTTCTAGCGAGTCTCAAACTAATAGTCGGCGACTACGTATGCCAATTTTATGGCTGGATTTGCACATCACTAGTATTTTTTTCAACCTACTCATATTTTAGCGAACATTATAAGTCTGGATATGAGATAGCTAGGCATGCATAACACATATGCTAACCAAATAAGTTATTAGGACATGTGACTTCACCAACAGGTCTGTATTTTTATCCTTTACCCAGTATACTCAACCTTGGTATTAGTCAAATGGCGGCTCCATAATATGCCAGCAATGCTTCGAATACACTTATGACTAAAGTATTCAAAAACTACGTCTGTGTCTGTTTCCACAAGCTGTGTTTTAAACCCATAGAGAAATGCAGTAATGCTATTTAGTATACTCGTCTCTTGGCTAGTAGACGGACATTGAAAGTCTAATTATAATGGTAACGTTAGGATTTTTATCACCGAAATAGTTTCCTAATCACATGCAAAATACTGCCCTCAAATTAATAATGCTCAAGAAATTGTATTGTAAAGAATACTTTTGGCGAAATTCCCACTAAATGATGATAAAAATTATCAGTGGTAATAATTTTTAAAACTCCTACTCATTTCACTTATTATATCACACTTACGGAAATCTGTAAGATCAAAAGAAAAACAAGTATATTTTCAAAAAAAGTAGTCATAAGAACAAAACTATTGATCGAAATATTTATTTTCATTGGTAACAGTGGTGAACAATGAATACCATTAGTTCAACCTGGTAACCAATTCTCGATTCCTTATAATAGCCTTGAATGTTCGAGATAACCTAAATAATACAACACAATTATATGGTTACTTGTGAATAGAAAGGTGCCTATCACTAAGTGAATTATTGAGCTAAACACTAGGAAGTTTTATTTGAATGCTTTACGAGTGAAACATGTAAATTAATTTGTTATCTTATTGACTAATGCCTACAAGGAATTTAAAGTTTTAATGACTATAAATGAAATGGTTCGTAAGTTCACAATCTGTCAATGAAATTCCCTTCACAAAACTAACTGAAATTATTAACTATATGATCATGATTGAGTGAATATATGTTTGAATTAAATCTCTTTACCTATAAAGTCGACCAAATCCGAAGTGAAACAGTAACCTATTAATTAATACCCAACATGTCGATTAAAGTTTAGAATGTAGACGATCAGATTATAGTTCAATGATTTGAAGGTATTATACTGATGGCAATATCAAAGATCCTTGGAGTTCAGTTACATGTTAAATACTTGACTAACGTAACAAACATATATAACTAGTTCACAAGATAAGATTTATTTCTAAGTTGTTATAATAATTACTTCATTTAGATTATGATTTGTTAATCTATCAATAACATTTTAATTCCACGTTATTTTTTTTCATAAACATTTCAGATATTTGACTTGGCTAAGATGTAGAAAAGAAAAAAAAACAAACAACAACAATCACCTCAACATTTCCATTAAAATTAGAAAACAAAAAGAAAAATTATTCAAGTAGAAATGCGTTCAGTATTTGCTAAAAAATCTAAAACAAAATTAAATCCTAAAACAAAACTTGAACCAACCATAGAAAATGAATTAATGTTAAAATCAGAAGAGAAACATTTCACAGATGAACAAAATGATAATTTACAGAATAAATATACATTAAGAAGTAAAATTATCAAACATAATTCACTTGATAAAAGAAAATCAGGTGCTAGTTTCAAATCATCATCATCTGATGTTTATATACGTCGTGGATTAGGTGTATCAGTGACATTTGAATCAACATTACCAACACAAATATGGCAAGCATCACCAAGTCCTTCACCACCATTAAGTGAACAAATAAAAAATGATGAAAATAATCAAGGTATTAAAAATTCTACATCATCTTCATCAAATTCACAGAGTTGTGAATCATCTAATGAAAGAATTCGAATGAATTATAAGAATCGTCATGGAAGTTTAAATGATATTCATGAATGTGATGATAGCAGTGATGAGACAAATCCATCTCGTTTGAGCTATCCTTCGTTAAGTAGTTGTACTAGTAGTGATGAAACAACAACTAGTCAAGAAAGATTAAGTCATCGTTTAAGTAGTAGTACTTCAGATAGTAGCTCCAGTTTAGATTTACGCATATTACCAAATAATGGAACACATTCCACACAGAAAATTAGTGAAAACATCACAAAGGTAAAAAAGATAGGGAAAGTGAGAGATATTCAAATCGTAAGGTTGTTAGTGAAAAACGTCGTCAATATAAATCACAAGGTCTGAGTAGCAGTAGTACAAGTAGTGAAGAAGATTTGGAAGCATATGGGTGGGATGAAAAAACGATTTCTGCTTTGACCAGCAGAAATAAGACTAGCATGACATGTCACACAACCGCTTCCAAAGGAAAATCAGAAAAATGCCCAAAGAATGTAAATGAATCCCTTACAAGTCCGAAGAGGGCGTCATCTTATCAAAAATATGACTTGCGCTGGAAACCAGATATTGGACTGGCAAAATTAAAGCTTTCTTCCCCTGTAAGGATTTGCAACCAGTTTCATGTAGATTCGCCTATTATTTTTCCTCAGACATGTATAGTATCCCGAAGGTTAAACTCAGCTATCCAATCTAATTGTTCAAAGACGACGAGTTTTACTTTACATCCTTTTACATTGCCTACCAACAGCTTTGTACAAAATTCTTCTCTAACCAATAGCGAACTACTAGCGGTTGTGAATATTGATTTTCGACCCTCAGCAGAGTGGAAAGAGAGATACAAACTATTAGGCGTTCGTCAGGGGAATATGTTTGTGTTTTGAATCAAAGCTTAACAAGTCCAACAATCGCTAATTCTGTGGATGGAAGAATGAGATCTACACATGCTCAGCAGAAAGTAATGCTCCCGTTGACGGAGAATAACTTTTGGTTATACGTACGTAGATGGTGTGTTGACCACCTAGTAGCTACAGGAACACCAGGATACATTCCTCGCCAAACCTGTAGAGTTTTATCGAACTGTGAGATTACTAGTCTGAGGTGTGCAAGTCAGAAGGCAAAATCGTCGTGGGATGGAAGTTCAAACAACTTCATACCATCGAATGATTCCCAAACGAATAACACTCCCATACAGAAACATGTAGTCATGCAGACAAACGATGAGTTTACACAAACAAAACCAGCATCAAATAAGGAGTTGACAAACAGAAGTCCGCACTCTAATTCAACATGTTCTAACCAAGTTACTGTAATGTTTACTACGCATCTTGATAAGAGAAGTCCTATGTATTCATTACAAAACTTTACACCAGATACATCACAAAACTTCCTGCCACCCCCACCCCAGGCTTCGGTTCTGGTGGGTCAATAGGCTCGGAAACAGAAGACAAGGACTCTGGAAGGGGTCCCAGTTCAGGTTCAGAATGGGGGAGTGGTCGTGGAGGTAGTTCAAATATAACACTAGATCGGTCTATAGTGGAACATACCTCAAGTGAAGTGGGATTAGACTATCAAGGTTCACAATCAAACAGACGATCGAGAAATGTTAAAAGTGCTGAGGAATCTCAGCTTGGATGGTATGCACCTACAGGACTAGAATGGTCGGATCGAAACTTTCATCCAGGTGAAGAATCTCTATCCCGTGACTCAGCGTTTCAAAGCCCGAATACAGATAACCTAGCACCATCACTACATGTTACAGAAGTAAGTCAATCTGCTGCAAATAAGAGTTCTTCAATGCAAAAAGCATACCCACCATCTGCAATAACTCTAACGACTATTACCGGAAACACTCCTGTTCTAGAAATGAGACACAATGGGACCCCAACCCTGTGTGCTCGGGGACTCCCTTCAGCATCAACAACAGATAGTCTGGCCACAAGTACAACAACTTGTACTACAGTGGTCGATATAAGAGAAGGACAAGATGAGCATACAAATAACCCCAGAGCTGGTCCATCCACTAAATATCGAGTACCAACGCCTGATCCTTCATGTTGGGAACCGTATAAAACTGTAATTCATGTGAATGAAACTAGTCTTGAAAAATTTACTTTAGTGTAAATATGAATAAAGTAACAATCAGTTCAAAATATAATGAATTATCAGAGTGCAATTATCTTGCTTACACTTCCAAATAACAGAATATATGCAATTTATTTATCACCCATAAGCGGATTTCAAAGGAAAAAATATCATAAAAGCAAATCAGAACTGTGTTTATTACTGGATAATTTTCATTTGTGTTTGTTGATCTAATTATTACTAGAATTGCTGATCTGATGATCATATGTAAATAATTTTTTTTTCGTTTTGTTTCAGTAATAAAAACTTTGACTTCGAACAAATTACTCATTCTAATATCAGTAGGTCAATAACAACAGATTAAACTTAATTAAAAAAGACAGTACATCCCATTGACATTTTAACAGTTCTTCATCATACTCACTACACTTCGTCAGTAATTAACCGAGCACTTGCTCTGCTTTATTATGAATCGAAGCTATATCAATCTTAATAGAAGCCTAATTTTGATAAGTCACTTTTTTGTGCCATTGTTATATCAGTGTGGTTTAATCACTCAACTTTAAGCTACTGGTTCAGGTGTTTGGAAACTCATATCTAATCTGATTAGAGGAGTCAGTTAGTACATCTACATTTCACATGACAATAATGGTTGATAGACTTTATACTAATATATTCCTGGATTAATGAGAAACTTTTAGACTGAGAATATTTTAGAGTTCTTTCACTTATTACAGTAAATAAGGTGTTTTTTTCATATTTTCCTAGTAGTCATTCTGATAATCGGTTTTATCACCATGAACTATTATTATTTCTGTTGTTAGTAAATCAAATCAAATTCTAGTAAGATAAACAGCAACTCACTAAAATAACAATGTTTTCTTCAATAAGTAAACAACTGTAAGGTTACACATCACTTCCGAGTTAGCAGAGTATATCATGAGTGATGAAAATTTCGTAGAAGACATCTCGAAAAAAATTATAAAAGTGAAATTTGCGTCATATATTGTATTTAGCATGTTGGAAACAAGCGTCTGGAACAAAAATAAAATGCTTAGAAGTAAACAAGTAGGATGCCTTAATCTAAACATTACAGCTATCAAGAATCCAATAAAAGTGTGAAGTTTTCCACACTGTTCCTATTACTCAACCATTATTTCACAAATCAGTGGCTAATTTCAGATCAACCATCCAGATATATTTCTCAAACCAACAACTTAGTCTCGAGGCAAGCAAGAAGTTAATATTCACATCGAACATTGTAAACACGATTTTACTCTGGTTTATTGGTTGATGTTACTCTACTATGTACTTGGTGCTTCTGAAATACCGACTGGAAAATAAAAGTCCTCACTAGATTACTCACTACCGACCTACTTAATTCAGTAATTTTATAGAGCAAAGCAGTTCAATGTATCTTGCGTTACCGTCCTTCACGCTCTACTACACTTTTCAATGTTAAAATAGGCTAAATTTAGTGAATATCAAGTGCACCATCAGTAACAACGCTCAAATTTCAACAGTATTTTGGAATAGTAGAGCTAACCACATATGCGACTCGGCTATAATACTTAGCCACGTCATTTTGTTCGGTTTTACTATTTGTACGAACGTATACAGCTACCAGAAATATGAAGTGAAACCTCCTCTTAAAGCGTTGAAAGACTATATTCTCAGTGTTTTTGCTTCCCACAATCTATAGATGTTACGGAGTCTAATAAACTAATTTCATATCACCTATATTAAAAAAGTATTACCGAATAATATGTCAGTCGAGGCAACTAAGTTTTGTGAGAAAGTTAACATGTATGGAACATGTACATACTTTTCGACGTCCTGCTATAGTTGTATTCTTTTACCTTAAGGCGGTGTTCGACTCCGTTGGCCGTGAAGCTTTGTGACAGTGTCTATCAGTGAAAAGCACCCTAAAGTAAATGAATCTTATACAGGCTCTCTACTTGAACACTACTGGTCGATTCAGAGCTTATGGAGAACTGTCATTGGAATTAGTTACTTCAAATGGTCTTTGTCAAGATTGTACGCTTTACCCATCTTCACTAAACTTTGTCATAGATATGCTCTTAGAGATAACACTTTCATCGTCTGACATATCAGGAATTGATCTACCGGGAGATTCACTTGTTGAATTAGAATACACAGATAATTTAGTTCTGTTTGGTAAAGACGCTTACAAAATAGTCTTTTGATCATCTTAAGCAATAATGCAAGCATGTTTAAGATGTGGTTCCCTCCCCCCAGAATTTAAAATATTTCTTCAAGATTGCTTCAGTTCGTTACCTAAATTAATGATAGGAAGTAAAATAGGTGAGTCCGCTGATCGCTCTACTTATTTTGGCAGTCCCACCAGTCCTGATTGTCTGATGCCTGACGAAATCTCGGCATGGATTCAGAAGGCTCGATTGGCGTTTGCCAACTAGTGTCACTTGTGATTTAGGCCAGATATGCATCTTCCAACCACAGAACGAGTTTACTGCTCAGCAGTTCGTTTCGTTCTGCTTTACCGATGTGAAACGTGGCCATTACAAATGGAGGATATACGTGCGTTACAGGTATCCGATCATGCCTTTGAAGCACTGTCAGTGTATTTTAGGACCACTGAGTAATGTCTAGGTTAAGAATAGGGTACTACGTAAAGATGGCAAATCGATTAGGGGTAATAAGTCTCCATCGACTGGGGTGGTTGGGCCATGTGTTACGTACGCCCACCTCGATGGGCAATGTTTTTTTCTGGTGTGAGAGTAGGCTGGAAGAAAGCTAGAGGTGACCGAGCCAAGACATGGGGTCATTCCATGAAGTCACTAACAATTGGACTTAGCCATGTTAATATGTGCAGATTACCTAGTTGAAGTCCACGAAATTACAGTAACCCATGGTTAGACTTTACATGAAATGGCTCTCGTTTGCAATGGTCCAGATGCATCCGTTCTTTACCTTCCCTAAATCCTAATATTCTAAATTCCTCATAACCTTTTTTGCTTTTAACTCACTGATTTATATTTTCTCGAATCGTATCTTCGATGCCTATTCTTTCCCAATACTTACCATTGATACTGTTACTTCCCCTACTATTCTGGGATTTGGCCAATTTCAACGCTTTGTGCTAGTGGAGTATGTTAACTTGAACCGATGTACATACGCAACGAGTTCTACATCATGAGTGACTGATTGAAACTATAATCAGCAGATCCTGGAAACAACCTCGATATAGATGTCCCTGTATAGTCAGACTGATACCTACCCACGAGATTAGTATATCCAAAACATTGGCTAGGAAAGTTAACCTAACGAGACAACTTACCTTTCTTGAGTATCGCTTGTCTATTACAGCTTGAGGTATAGTAAACTATGGGATGCTGAACAAAAAATGATTACGATCTGGATCATTTGTAGGTCACTAGGCGTTAAGACGGCAAATGATGCATGGTTTATTAATCATTGATCAATCTTGTAAACATCTGTATAATTCCTAGAGTACGACTACAACAAATCTTTTTGACTGTATTGACAGAATCACGTCACAATAACTGTTGTATACCAAACAGATTTTCGAAGATGAGGATACAAACAGTTTTATTTCAGAATAATGAGACAATATGATTGTATCGCCGAGAATTGTGAGGCGGTTCAATTAAGTGTATTTACAGTACCCCGTTTTCAATCTTTGGGTCGAGTCTGAACCACGCTCCTTTTGAGCTGATATAAACAGTCGAAGAAACCCCTTTGTAATCGCCTCACTCGCACTAATTCCAACCCCTTTACATTTGTGTTTAACTACAATCAAGACTGACGCCTTCTACAAATTTACAGCTAGAATGAAGTGATTCACTGAATAGGATTACACAACAATGAAATTTATGGCAAATGACTTTTAAGGATAAAAGTTTGGTTGACTAGTGAACAATTCACTTTCTAAAATCACATAGAAGTAATTATTGAATTGAACAACATAAAACAGCATAAAGAAAAATTCTGAAAAATATATTTCCTAGTAATCAGTTGTACAAACGAATCAACATTAGGCTTTTCATTTGTCAATCGTTTGATGGGAATAATCACATAAGTTGGCACATGTTTGAAAAAAGGTGAGGAGAATTCCACAAATAGCTTACTAAACAGTATAAATATGAATTGATACTCCGGGAATCTTGATAACACGAAAATTAATAATTGACTTTAAAATCTGGACTTTTGATCCGTTGACTGACCATTATTCAGTACGACTACATATATCCATATAGTCCAAAGTAAACTATAATGAAAGACTTAACGGCTGATTTTTATACATTATGTACACGATGCATTTATACATAGTTTATTAGAGATTAGGTTTAGGTCTCAAAATGAGCTTTCCAGAATTATCACATGCCATATTATATTCTGCTAAAACAACTCGACTGCGATGAGCTATGATACTAGGCAAAACAACTTTTTTATGTGCTCCCATAAAAAAAAGAACCATGAGGAACAAAATGCTACATACAAACTCTGGGTGTTTTTTCAAGGAACCGATAAAACCGGCTTGGTATGTGACAGGATCGATAAGCCAACAGTATGACGAACATAATAGTATCAGTACAGCTACAGACAAAACAACTCGCCACTTATATGCTTTCGGACCTAAACCATTGATAATTTCACGAAGACGACGCTCAAATGCTTTAAGGTCTTCAGTTGGTTCATTTGGATTATAGTTGATGTTTTGCTGAAAAGAAATTAAGATAAATAAGTAAGTTCTAAAAGTGACTTGACAGGAATACAAATGTCTAACAAAACATAAAAGGATGCTTTATAGACTGGACGGCTCAAATGTCAACGGGAAATTTTAACACGACGAAATCAAGATAGTAAGCGTATTTAAAAGACAACACAGATTAGCTTAGTCATCGCACTAAATGTATTTTTCCATTACGTTGCCCCAAACAATCAATATTTTCGTTCTACATTGATGCACTTACAAGCCTATAGTATTTTCATTAACAAACTTTGTAGGACTATATACACCAACATGCACGTGAAAAAATGAGAAAAATCTTTAGTCAGATTAACAAAACTAGATTTGTCATCTAACAAATTAATAGGTGAGATAAATCTTGACCGAAGTTGATGGCGACCAACTGAGATAATATTTGCATCGACCAAACATGATTCTTTGTGACTTGGTAA